AAAACCCTTGTGCAATCATGTTCACACATCTGAAAACAGTTTAGCTCGTTACAGAAGCTACAAAACTGACCTTCCTTTGAGCAGATTGAGTTTCTGGAGTATCACATTTTTGGGGTCAAGTTAACGTTAAAATGGCCAGAAAAAGAGAACTTTCATCTGAAACTCAGTCTATCCTTGTTCTTAGAAATGAAGTCTATTCAATGTGAAAAATTGCTAAGAAATTGAAGATTTCCTACAACGGTGTGTACTACTCCGTTCAGAGGACAGCACAAACAGGCTACTGCAGGTACTATTTAATGAAGATGCTCTTTTGGGGACCTGTGAGGTGTCTGTTTCTCAAACTAGAGACTCTAATGTACTTATCTTCTTGCTCAGTTGTGCAACGCGGCCTCCCACTTCTTTTTCTACTCTGGTTAGAGCCTGTTTGTGCTCTTCTTTGAAGGTAGCAGTACACAAGTTATCTTCATTGAAAAGTACAGTGCTTTTCCTTCAAAAATAAGGACATTTCAATGTGAACCCAAACTTTTGAACGGTAGTGTATACATATACTATAATAAATTAATAATAAATAATCACCTCAATATGATCATATATGTACAAACATAATAGAAGGGAAAATATAGAATTTTATCACTTGGATTTAACACAACTACTAAAGCGACACAAAGTGTTTCCATTGCTTTGCAGAATATTTTTTTCCCTTAATGACTTTGGAAACATTTAAAGGGGTTTTATGTAATAAACTGACAAAAAGTGTTGAATAATTATCAGGTGGAGGGAAAATGTTCTGATTAAATGCAGGAAACCACAAACACACCTGAACATCACATCTTTCTAGGCAGGGTGGTGGCAGTATCAGGATATGGGGTTATTTAAAAATCTGCTTATAGACGATCTAAATAGTTATCTTATTTGATACCAGTTCTTTGTCTTTATCATAGTGATCATTATTGATTGAATGGTTAATTGAATTTTTGCTCAGGTTGTCACAGAAGATCGAGCCAGGCACCAGCACCCCTCGAGCCAACGCCTCCAAAGAAGATCTTGTTGGTAGGGAAGATTTTAGCGCTAAAGCTCATCATCTTAAATCTCTTATACATTTCTAATTGTCTCCTTTTTTTTCACTTTTTCAGGCCAGGAAGCGTCGTCTTCTCCTCTCTGTGGCCGAAAAGGTTCGGTAGCGGCCGATGTCCCGGCCACGCCTCCATCTCCAAGGAATCTGCTGCCCTACGGACACAGGAAGTGCCACAGCCTGGGCTACAAGTCAGTCTGCTTTCCCTGTCATTCTCCCATTCTTTCATTCATTCATTTATTCATTCATTTATTTATGTTTTCATTCATGGCCTTAAGTTAGCTGGGAAGCAAGAGGCGACAGTTCGTGAGCCAAAGCTGGCAGGTCCCCTTTATATCACTTGCTCTGCTGTATGTCTCTCCTCAGTTTTATCCATAAGATGAACACAGTAGAGTTTAAAAGTGCCACATTTCCCAACGCTGGCTCCCGTCATCTGCTGGATGACAGTGTGTTGGAGAGCCACAGTCCCAGCAGGGGACAGGCAGAGAGCTCTACTCTGTCCAGTGGCATTTCGCTCGGTGAGACTAAAGCTGTAACGTTGAAACCAAAGCCGTACCCAGATTGTCTCACGGTGACATTCACCTTATGGTTTCTGTCCCCGGTACAGGGAGCAGTGAGGGCTCCGAGCTCAGTGAAGAGATGTCTTGGCCAGCTTTTGAGAGGTAATGCATCCATTTCTGCAGTGCTTTTCCCACCAGTTCATCATTTAAAACAGAAATCATTCAACACTTTCATTGCTGTGATCAGTTGTTTTTGTTTTTGTTTGTTTTAAGCCTGTGCAAAATGATTTGCAATAAATTTGAAATTCACCATGCACAGCGTTGCTTTCAGGCCATCATGCTGTCATGCCTCACCCCCTCTACTGCTGCTCTAAAAAAGAGCAATGAACTGCAGACGCTACTGCCTCTCCAGCAGCCTCAAACGCATAAATCTTTCTACTAATGTGCGAAGGCTAAAGAGCAGCACTGATCTGATCTGAAATGAAGTCTACTGGCCTGAAGATCATCCTAACCTGTTCTCCACAGCTCCATTTTCTTTTTATGTTTGTGTTTTTTTTTTTTCCCCTCCAAGGTCACCACATCCATTTTTAAATCTTCTAACCGACTTACAGCTCCTCATTTACAGCTAACCTGTGCCGTTTGAACAGGAAATTAGAAAACTAGCTAAATAAACCACACAGCTTAACAGTGTCCCGTGCCCCGTACCCTATCCTGTCCTCCTATCTCATCCAATTTCTGAACAGGACTCGGTTCTATCACTCTCTGGGCCCAGTGACCCGTGTGGCCCGCATCCCGTACAGAGGAGTCCTGAGGCCCAGCAGGTACACCCACCTCCAGCAGAACCAACTCGATCTCAACCAGACTCTCTCTGAACCCTTTTGTTTTTATGGTTTTTCGCACGCTTCATTCGCTGCCAGGCCGCTGCGTGCTGATGCTTAGCCTGCGTAGTTTTGGGGATAATCTTTGGTTTTTTGAAGTAGTGCGAGTGTTGGTGAAATCACGAGGCTCTCTGTGGGGGTTACAGATTCCTGACTTTTGCTGCAGTGGATTCTGTGCTCTAACTGCAGCTTCCTTCAATTTCTTGCATGTTTGTCACTGAAACACATGTTGGGGGTTAAAGAGGAGGTGGACTGAATAAAATGATTTAAAAAAAGCTGCAGGTTAAAATAGGGGTGGGCAATATGACAACATTTTATCTGCCAGAGCAGACATCATGATATCTGGCCTTAAATAGTTTATTTCTATAGCGCCAATTCACAACACGTCATCTCAAGGCACTTTCCAGTTCAACCAGATCATCCAGTCAGATTGATTCAAAGTTTTCTATCTAAGGAAAACCAG